GAAGAGGAACTAAAGAGCCTCTTGATGCGGGTGAAGGAGGAGAGCGCAAAAGTTGGCTTGAAACTCAACATTAAGAAAACTAAGATCATGGCATCCAGTTCTCATACTTCCTGGCAAATAGATGGGGAAGAAATGGAGGTAGTGACAGATTTTATTTTCCTGGGCTCCAAGATCACCGCAGATGGGGGCTGCAGCCAAGAAATTAAAAGACGCTTGCTCCTGGGGAGGAAAGCTATGGCATATCTAGACAGCATACTAAAAAGCAGAGACATCACCCTGCCAACAAAACTGCATATAGTCAAGGCTATGGTTTTCCCAGTTGCAATTTATGGCTGTGAAAGCTGGGCCATAAGGAAGGCTGAGCACCAAAGGACTTAGGCCTTTGAATTGTGGAGCTGGAGGGGACTCCTGTGAATCCCTTGGACAGCAAGGCGATCAAACAGGTCAATCCTAAAGGAGATCAACCTGACTGCTCTTTAGAAGGCCAGATCCTGAAGATGAAACTCAAATACTTTGATCACCTAATGAGAAGGAAGGACTTCCTGGAGAAGAGTCTAATGCTGGGAACAATAGATGGCAAAAGAAGAAGGGGATGGCAGAGAATGAGGTGGCTAGATGGAGTCACTGAAGCAGTTGGTGTGAGCTTGGGTGGATTCCGAGAGATGGTGGAGAACAGAAATGTTATGCCTGACTCCCCAGGATCCTGACGTAATAGAAATATCTATCAGCTTTCTCAGGGCATTCAGGATAGGCATGACTCCTCTAGGCTCCAGATAGGCATGACACGGCCAAACACTAGAATAATCAAACGGTCTCAGGGTATGCATGATAGGCTTAGCTCTCCTAAGCTCTAGCCCATTCAAATGTCTAGTAACTGCCTCAGAGAATTCCCCTCGGAAAGTGGAAAGAGCTTACCTACAACTTAATGGACAAAGATTGCTTAGAAGGTGTAAATTAAAAGATAAAACTTACTGCTAACCAAATCTGCTTCTGTATATTGCTTGCTCAACTGCTTATGTGATTCTGTAACTCCTCATTGTCGCCATTGTTCTGATTTCTGTCAAAAACTGATTGTATTGTTTACCATTTACCGAAAACTCACTGTGAAGCTATAAAAACCTCATTCCAACTCCATTCGGGACCGCATTCCTCTATGAATGTGGTCCCTGCCACAGGAATAAATCTCCTCTTTAACTTTTCCATCCAGTCTCTGGTCTCATCTGTAACACCGCGGGTTACAACAAGAAAGGCCTGGAGGAATGTTCTCCATGGGGTCGCGATGGGTCGGACATGACTTCGCGACTAACAACATTTGCCTCTTGAATAAAAATATATACATTTCTGAAGCTCATCAAGGCAGTATACAAAGTATAAAAATAATCAGAGAAACTTAAAACAATAAAACTATGAAGTCAGTCACATATCCAAATATACAGAAAAATAGGAGAGGCAGTATGAACTAATGGTTAATCTTCAGTAGTGTAATTCAGGAGAACCTAATGCTAATCTCCAGTGAGGCATGAAACTCACTGGGTGACTTTGGGCCATTGTTATGAGAATAAAGTAGAAATGATCATGTAAGCCACCTTGTGTTTTTTACCCAAAAGGGGTGGGGGGATATAAATGTAAAAGAGAAAGAAAGAGGAGTTAGATAAATGCAAATAGCAGCTCTTCCCATCAGGCTGCCTCAAGAAAGGATGAGTAGAGCAGCTACCCGGGGCACCAAGGTCAGTAGGCACCAAGTGACCCCTTGAAAGGGAAGGTGGAGTTAGTGGTGGTGGCAGTCCAGCTCCTTGTTCAGATCCATGATGGTGACAGTGTAGTGCACACGCCTTGCTTACTAGGCAGGCCCACGTGAGGGAGCAGCAGACCAGTGCTTAAACCTGAGGGGTTCTCAGGACAACAAGACAGCCTGCCTCCTGCTCCAGAGAGCGGCAGCTCCCTGGAGGCACCTAGCACAGCCCTCCAGAACCCTTCAGAAGTAGGCACTGCTTGGGCAGACTATCTGGGAAGGCCTACGAGCTGCTTTCCTGCCACAACGACGCAGCTGCAGAAAAACCATGCGCACAGCACTGGAGAGAACCTACCCTGCCCCAATGCTGCATTTAAAGAGCTTAAAGTGAGGCAACTGTGAATATTGAATGTACTGCTGTGCCACTGATTCCTTTCAGGGCAACCTTGTCCAGAATGTCTTGCTTTAAGGAAAGATCCATTGAAGCAAAGCATGCAAGGGAGGCAGAAAATAGAAGAAAGTAAAGTAAAGTCGAAGGTGGCAGTGGATGGAAATGAAGAGGAGATCAGCACCTGATGGATTGGGGCTGGGGGCAATAGCAGCAGCAGCTGCTGCTGCCAGGGGTGTGGAAGAATGAAGAGAGGGTGCCTGCTGCTGCACCGAAATGCCACCTTGTATCAAGGGTGAAAATAGCCAGAGGCAAGCGTGCCTTCCCTGCTGCAGATCTATTTCTTTGCAGTTGCTTTTTGTGTTTGAAGGAAAGACCTACTGAACTTATATGTGGATTTTCCCACAAAGTAATCCTTGCTGAAGAAGTGTTCATATTAAATGCAAAGTAGCTCACATCTAGCTTGCCCCTCAAACAGCCAGTTTGCCCTGATTTATTGAGAGCTTTCTGACCTCCCAACCCCCATCCCCTTTCTATTGACAAGCAGCTCAGCAGAACCTCTTTCAACACAAGAGTCATATTCAGAAGCTGTTTGGGGCCATTTTGGGAAGGAAGGCAATGGTGACAGGATCAAAAATAACACATAATTGTATTTGAAAGCTCTTACAGTCAGTAACCAAGCCTTAGAAGAGGCATTTCAGACTTTTAGAATGGGGTGGGGAGGTGGGAGACTGCACAATAGCCAGGAAGTTGCCTAATGATTGGTAATTGTAGGAAAGAGAAACATACAAACAGAGGGAGTCAGAAGGGGCGATCTAGTCTGACTCCTGGCTTCAGCCAGTTCTGTTCATGATATGCCTACCATGTGCACATCCAGCCTATCCTTGAACACCCTCATCAATGAGGCTCCAACCACCTCCCGTGGAAGCTGATTCCAAATCCTAGGGGTCCTAACTGTCAGGAAGTACTTCCTGGCATACAAATTGAACCTTGGTTCCCTGAGCTTTGCTCCACTGGAGCACATCCTGCCCTGCTCCACAGGGGAAAACAGGTTTCTATCTATACTAAAGAGGATGAGGCTGGGAAAGCTGGTGTATTTGGATGGCCAAAATGAGACTCCAGGGTGGATTTGGCCCCTGGACCTGATGTCATTCACCCTGATCTAATTGTAGTTACTATCAGAGTTTATAACTTCTTAATCAGAACCAGAGAGGAACAGTTTCAAAAAAGCTGTGTAGATGCTGCATTCCCAGGGAGTTGAGAGCTTTCAGAAATGCTTGAGTTAGCCATTGGCATGTTTGCACTTGGAGTAAATAGGCAAAATTACAGTCACACTGTTCCCACTTTAGAGTAGAGTAAGGCAGTTCCTTCAAAGAATGAGTTCCAGTAGCAAAAGAGTAAGTGTTCCTGTATCCTTAATACACTCATAATAAACATTAGATTCATAAGCTGAAACCACTAGAGCTGCTTGC